ATAGCTAGGGGAGTTTAAAGTTTGTAACTTATTATTAATAATTTGTGAACTCAAATTGTAACTTACAATGTGACTTTTTGTTATATAAGTAAGTTATGCAAAGAATTAAAATTACAGATAACAATATAATTTATATAATAAATTTTATTATATATGTAATATTTACAAATAAATAATTCGATATACAATATATTTACAGTCTATAATAATATTTGTACAGGTTACAAATAAAAAAAATCAATATGTGTGAAACAAAACAAAAGTAAATGGGGAAAAAATGGGAACTTTAAAAAAACAAAAATTTTTTTTGTGTGTATATGTAACATAAAAAGTTTCAATTAATCTTTTTATGTTATTCCTAATTCCTATTCTTAATTTATTATTTAAAACGAAACGCTCTTTCTCACACTTTATTTCACATCCTGTCTTTTAACTATTTTTAGTTCAAGTATGCATTAATTAACATAGCAGTTTGAGATTTTCCCCTTTAACTAATTTGTAGGAAAGACTATTTCCCTAGCCCTATTTAATAGACTAATTTTCCCTAAACTGAAACATTTTATGGACTTAGCAAGATTTTCCCTAACTTTTATTGAGGAGCACAATGATTTTGTGATACTTGAATGCTAGCTCTTCAAGATTATGTCTCAATAAATAATATTTATTTACATATGGCCAGGTGCGTGAAACCTGCTTATTTCAACCTCTCAGTGACGTTCTGATATATATACATCCCTACAAAGAATGAAATTTATTGAGTAAAAGTACTAAACAAAAATAGGAAATTTCAAAATAATAAAAAGAATAATAGACTCTTTAAAATCCACATAATTTGAAAATCAAGAGGCTTTGAGGATTTCAAACCCCTTTAGTGTACATTTTGTAACTGTTATATTTAAATGCATAAAAGGAAGATTATGTAACAATCAAAAAACATTAATAACATTTCATAATGAATAATAAAAACTGATCATTTAATGCTTTAACCCATTCTCTAGCTTGAGTATTTCTTTGTCCTTAAATGCATCTGAGAATTTGAAGAATGAGACAGTACAATTACCAAGGGTCAGTCTAGTTTTTTCTGAAAGGTACCTATTTTGTGAAAATTTTTGACATTATATGTGAAAATTAAAAATTATATTAAAAAATCAACACCAAAATGTGGTAAAAATATGGATTTATTGTTTTTTATGGGATACAAAAATAAAATTTTAAGAAAAAGTACTTTGTGAAACTACGGTTTTTCCTTAAGTTGAATTTGTGAAGGTACCGCTAAACGGTAGTAAATTTGGCCTGGACAGACCCCTGATTACAAATATGCTACCATATTTATAACAGTAAAGTTTGGTGGTAGTAAACTTTGAAAATGAGTTAAAGGAAATTTTGTATTGTTTTTTAACTGTGGAAATTAGTTTTTTAGCATTTATAATGCTTTTTGAAGCTTTTACTGACAGTTTTTAGTTCACATTCTAAAGTCATTGGATTTTAGTGAGTCTACAGTACATAAATGTAGTCCCAATAGAAACAACAATCTATAATCTTTTCAGAAATAGTAGAATTTTTTAGGTAAACACCCAGGTGACATTAAACATAGATTGGAAACTATAGTTTAAAAAATTATTTGATTCACAATATAGCTGTGAATTGAATTGCAGCATATAAATAGTTTGCAATTTTTTTCCTTTTCATAAAAAGTTGTAATACCATAACATTTAAAAACTTGTTTAAAAACATATTAAGATATTTAAATAGCTATTTTACAAAAATTTTCTATAATATAGCAAGGCAAAAGAAAATTGAATTTAGGTTAAAATAAGTAGTTTTTATTCATAGCCACTTAATTTTTTTTAAAAAAAGAAATTTTATTATTTTTAGTTGTGATAGAATCGTTACCAGTCTAGTTACCAAATAAAGTAAATACAACTAGTGTAAAACCAAATTATGTTTAAAAAAAAGAGGAAAAAAAATAACATGCTTTATATTTTATTTACTATGTTTCTCATATCAGAACTTAGGCTTGCCATTGTTGTAGTTTCTGTTTTGTCTTAAAGAATAAATCATGATTTCTTTAAAATAATGTATTTTTAAACCTGAAGTTAATGCGGCAAATTATCTTTCTTTAAATCATGGTGCTGTGGTATATGAAGATCTTTAATTTTATCATTTTCGTTGAATTTATTTTTCAAAAAAGCAACACAATCTTTTGTTCTAAGAAATATAGCTCTAAGGAATGGAACAACTATACTGCACATAATAATTTAAGAACTCTTCCAGTTCTATTAAAAAGAATCTTTGTGCTGCTTTAAATGAACAAGTTCTGCATATTTAGATGTAATATTTCCTTTGCCTATCACATTATCTAAGCAACTTCGGTACACAACATTGAATTTTTAATTTATTTTTGTTACTATATAGCCAGAGATGTTATTCAGCAACACTTGGAAGGGTTGTTGCTCCTTTTTTTAAATCGAGGGAAGAACTTACTTTGGGAACAAACGTTACGAACATATACAACAGACAATAGTTTCTCGGACAAGGATGTAATGTACTCTTTTAATTCCAAGTAATCAAAATTTTTAATCTTTTTGACCATAGGTCTACCTAAAATATGAATGGGTGGTCCTGTCTATCTTTCTTCATTGATAAAAAATTTAAAATATTTTACCTGTTCTAAGCAATAACATCAATAGAAATAGAAAGATTTCCTCAGTGTGATTTACATTAGAATAATCACCAAGCCTTTGGCAAATTCTAGGTAGCGTCCCATGAGTAACTAAAAATTATATCTCAAAGGAAATAACTCGCAGCCACGCTCGGGCTAACCTCTACATGTTTTTTTTTTCTTTAAATATGTAAGCTGAAAATCTAGGGATATTTCCGTAACGTGATCTGACACGACAATCACAATCGCCAACCTTCTGAGTTGGTCTCTTTCTGTGATACATTGTTTTTTTTTTTTTTTTTTTTTAAATTTCTCGCAGGCCGTTGCCGAGACTTGGCGATTATTCTGTACAGATCACGATATGAAAATATTTCCAAAAATCCATTTCGCACCTTGGCAATTGTAGTTTGCGCAGCAGATCACGATAGGTAAATACAGTGCCCGCCGTTTATTGAAATCACTTTCGTTTTATGCTCTTTTGATTTTATTAAGCGGCTGATTTTATTAAGAGGCGATTCAACATTTGAAAAAAAAATTTTTTTTTTTTTACAATCTATTCTAAATGCACACTTTTAAATTCGAAATAATGACCACATTAATGCTTTATTTTAACTAATTTAATTATTTTAATAAAGTAAAACCCAACATAAGATTAAATTTACAAAAGTTTTGCAAAAAACCGATCAATGGTTGCTTGAGTTGCAGTATTTAAAATTAACTTTTCAACATCATTTGAGAGTTTATAGAAGTTTTTATAGTTTCCGATATTCCTCCTCTTTGTTTTAAGGCTTGCCGCAATACATTAAGTGCTTTTCTGACTTCCATTGAAGATGGCACTGATGAGTTCATTTCATCTTCTGAGTCTGATTCCTCCATTTCTTGATGGGAAATAACTTTGCAATTTTTGATGTCCATAACAATTTCAGAATCAGATTTTTCTCCTGAGTTTGCTGGTTATCGTCAATAGCTACGTAATGTGAAAAATTCTCGTCCATTTCATTTTCTTCCTTGCTGATCATTTCTTCGAAACAGTTATGAGCCCCATATCTATCTCCATTGAAGCTTCACGTTGACTACATTTAGGAAGCTTATCATAGTTTTGCAACACTTCGAATTTATCTTTAAGACTCAAATCCTTCCTTTTCGGCATGCTGATAAAATTTAGCACCAAACGAACTTAAAAATGATATGTGCTCTAACTATAATTTACTCAAATGGCCTCGCCTAAATAATATGGAACATGCGCACAGACAGTTTTTGGAAATCTATTCATGTTCTCTGTTAAGATAGATAACAAAAGAAACTTCTCTCCCTTCTATGGTTCATTCAATAAAAAGTAAGATAAGAATTCGACCCCCTGTTGAGTGAGATAGGTTTCTCCAAACTTCATTCAAGTCAAGGAATTAACATTGATAAATTGATTTCTATGAACTCGCCGCTTACCACCCACATTTTTCCTTAACTCTTACACTATGTATATCGCAGGAAAGTGCTAACCACACCTGTTTCACAGGTTTGTGAGTAACTGTTGCTTCTTCTAAAAAAATCTTTAAACTTCGAAAAAATAAAATTTTATAAATAAGAACAAAAAAAGCTGAAATATTGCACCTTTGATTTATTATGTAGTCAAAATTTTGATTTTAAAAAGCGGCGGCATTGATTTTATTAAAGGATGTTTTTAACATGTATTAATATTGTAACGATTCGGTTCTTGCCGATTTGATTTTATAAAGCGGCTGATTTTATTATCCGGTGATTTTATTAGCGGCGGGCACTGTATGACCAAACAAATAGTGATTTAAATAATTTTCTCGATACTGTTTGTTGATTCATTATCAACGGAAAATGTTTGTTTATAAAGCTCAAAAATATTTGACACTATTTTCGGAGTGATTTTCTTGGATTTAAAAACAATTGAAACAAATATTCGGTCCTACAATGGAATGAACGGTTCAGTTCAAACATTCTAATGAGCGTTAAAACAGTATTGTTTATGAAATAAAAAGCGGCATTTGGCAGTAATATTAATTTTCAATTCTCTGAAAAATATAAAGAAACAGCGGTAACACTATAAATTGATTATCATTTGCTTTTCCAAATGAAAAAAAAAACAGAAAAAGCAAGTAGATTTATAATCACATTAGATCCAGATAAAGCATTATTTGTTATTATATTCAGGAATGAATGCAGATAAACGGCAGTTTTTGGTTTGTTTACAAAAAAAGCTTCCCACTGCCTCTTTCTGTTATCTTGTGAGTAATGTTTGTTTAACTCAGCATATATTAAATTCAATGAATTATTTGTAAGTTAACTATATGAATCTATAGTTTATATCATTGTGAGACTAATTTCAAAGTGAAAACAACTTCAATAATGAAATATAGCTTAAGTATTCGTAATTACTCAAAAAAATATTTCATGAAATTCTCACAGGTTCAGCCGGGGAGAAACTGTCCGTCGGAAGTAATCGTTTTCGTCTGGACCTTGTCATTTTGAAGTTAATTTTGTTTGTGATTACAAATCGGAAAGAAATTTTGAGTTCAATTTTATTTTTTTTGTAGAAAAAGCCTTGCAAATCTTTATTTATCTACAATGGCGAGTAAAGCTAAACCTCGACCAAAAAGAAAGAAGCCTGCTCCAAATCCAATGGCTGATGTCTGTTATCATTTCTAATTTCTATAATTTTCAGTTTCATTTCTAATTTTTTAAATTTCATATGATTTAAATGATGGAGCTGCTAAAACTTATCAAGTATCTTCATTGATGTAATGCTTCGAAACTCCTTTAAAGCGTGACTCCTTGATAAGAAGAAAAAAAAAATTATGATATTCATAAACAAATATAGCTTAAATAAATGCGTAGACATTTCCGGATTGTGATATTACGCTTCAATTACAATCGCCAAGGTGCCAGATGGATTTTAAACTTGCAATTTAACAAGAAAAAGAAAGGAGAGAGAGAAAAAAGTCATGACAAAAAAATCAAAACCCTTTCAAGTTGGCCCCTTCTATGATTTTTATTATTATTGTTGTTTTAGTTTTTTGTGATACGGAAATCTTTCCTTTAAAATTTGTGGGAAGATTTCCTTATTGTGATCTGCGGCAGAACAATCGCCAAGTCTTTTTTTTCTCTCGTTTCGTGTAAAAAGATTACTGCCGCAAAAATCATGCACTCAGTTTCAGAAAATGCAAAACTCATGCATTTTTTAAAAATAGTCAAGGATTCGAGATAGATGATCGTGACTGGAGCGTGTCCTAAATTGATTATTCCAAAGCACGATACGAAATTCGTAGATCATAAGTATTTATTGTATTGAAGCGTAGTATTCAAAGTAGATCATAATATTGAAGCGGCAAAAACATGTTTGCTGTAATTTTAAATTGTCTTATTATAACTTTTGAACTTCAAGTTTATTTGAACTGCAACTTTCATTCTTATGTTTAGGAATTGCGCTTGTTATTGTTTTAATTTTGTTTTTTTGCTATACACATAAATATTTTATGCCAAATTTAAGTAAAACACATTATATATAAATGTAAATAGTATTTATTGAATTTGTTTATGCAGTAGAGAACCAATTATCCGGGATGCTTGGGACCATCGCTATCCCGTATGTTTGAATTTCCCGGTTTTCTGGATTGACCAAAAAGTGTCGTTAATCGATATTTTATCAAACCCGAATTGTTAGGAAAAAGTGTAACACATTTTAAAGTAAGAGAAAAAAGAAAAGCACTCCTAAATTAAAGGAAAAAAAATATGGTAGAAAAATAACATCTAAAAGAATAAAAAAATTTGCAAGTTTAGACAAGAAAAAGAAGTTTAAAATATAAAAAATTCTCATACTTATTTTTTAAAAATAATTACAATTCATAAATTAACTAATATAAACAAAACCATTTGTTAAATAACACAATATATTTCATACCTAATTATAAGGGGGGAGACGATAAAATAAAAGGAAAACTTATTAATCTAAATAAAAACAACACTTGAAAATTATCGAAACGATAGTTAAGAAAGGCACTAGCATAAATATTAAAACCCGGAACAAGGCAAGATCAATGGAATTAAAAAAAAACCTAATCATGAAATTTATGAATAAAAAGAATAAATTTTTTGAGTGGGAAATTTATTGTGAGAGATTTTTTGAGTGCGAAATTTATGAATTTATTGTTAAGAAAGGCACTAGCATAAATATTAAAACCCAGAACAAGGCAAGATCAATGGAATTAAAAAAAAAACCTAATGATGAAATTTATGAATAAAAAGAATAAATTTTTTGAGTGCGAAATTTATTGTGAAAAGAAAAAAAATGTCAAACGTAGTGAGATCAGAAAAACAAAACTGCAATCTGCTTCATGAAATAATTGTATGTTTAAATTAATAAACAATTCTTTTATTTTTTTTACAAAAACACGATTTTTAAATAAAGCAGATGTGATTCTACATCAAGAAAAACTTGCAAATGATACCGCACTTCCAAAGAATCGGAATTTATTCGAAGGAAAAAGATTTTGTTTTTATTAAGCAATGTCAAATAGATAAATATATTTTTCTCTTTCATCTTCAGTTCACTGATATGCAAGTGCAATGCATTTTCCCCACCCCCTCGTAAATCAAAGAGAAAATGAAATCGGCATGCCACTCCTTTGAGTTTGATTGGCGGCCTAAAGGAGAAAATAAAACATTCATCCCTTTCTTGCCTCCTCTTGATCTAAAGATCTTCAAGGTCACGGAAGAAATGACGTTTCTCTGGGTAAGCGGGGAAAAAAATTCTCCCCTTCCTCACATTTTCCTCTACTGAACTTCAAGGATGAGTGCGATTTCAGCTTTTTTTCATAATAATTTCATTTTCTGGTTTAAAATGGCAGGAAAACCGAGCAAAATTTTTCCCAGTTTTCTGGTTTCCTGGTTATCTGGATACCGGATAAATGTTTCTCTACTATACATCAAGCTATTCATTTTGCTATAGTATGGTATGAAAAAAATAGTGTGAAATCCTAAACTGTTGAAAATGTTATCAACAAATTCTCGCAAATCGAGTGCATAAAAAAGTAATTTCCTGGACAAAATGATGTATCATTAAAGTATGAAAACCTTGTGAAAATCCATGGCAGTAACGAAAATACGATGGTAAAACCATGTCGTAAATCATCAATAAGTCAGTTCGTAAATAAGTAATTCTTCAAATGTATGATTCAAAATTTCCTTCGTATAATGAAGTATATTATTAAAATATAGATGTTTTAATTAAAAAAATCATTTCAATGCTGTTCCTTGTTTTAGATTATATTTTGTTGCTAAATGAGAATAATTTACTTTTGGAATTTTTTGAGGCTTCTTTTTTAATGCTATTTTTAACTGATTATCTACCTTGCTAATTTTTCACATCCAAATGAATAAAACCGAAAGGAAATATTCATGATAGAGAAAGTTCACATTATCATTTGCTCACTTTTATTTATTTTTAATGCATATATATTTTATCATACTAAACATTCTGTAGTTTTTTAAATGTCTTTCAACCTATAAGAAAATGTTGTTGAATGAAATTGAAGTTAATTATTCTTTTTTAACTGATTAAGAATATTTTTATGTTTCTTTACCTTAAAAACCTATTATCTGGAATAATCTATTTTCTGGACTTGCCGAAGTCCTGACGATCGTGATATAGGACTTTTCACTGTATCTACTTTAAAAAAAACTACAACTGCAGAAAGCTGCTAACGCAATTTTTAACTAAACGCAATTTTTTATTAAAATCTCTCCTTTATAAATTACCTAAGAAAAGTTTTTTTTTTTAAATATGAATTGCATTTTTAATACCCAAAATTTTGTGTTTTCCCGAATATCGCTTGATTTACGTCATTAGTAACTGGCATCTTATTACATTATATAGAAATTTACATTAATTGAGTACAATAATTTAACTTTTGATCTTTCAGCTTGGTCTTTTTGATATTCCAAATCTGGATCTAGAGGCTGATGATGACGATAGTGATGTTGATGAAGGTAGTCTTGAAAGTGAGCTTGCAGCCTTGATGTCTGGTCAAGAGATAGGAAGACCAAAACGAGTGCCTAAAGGTAAATGAATAAGAATCCCATATCCAAAATTTTTTTAAAAATGTTTATTGCTTATTTTTAAAATGCTGCTTTATTTTCAGCAATATTTGAACCTGACTTAGGCATTGTTTACTAATTAAATAATTTCATGTGGGTCCAGAACATTCAACTAAAACAGAGCTTCATCACTTCAAAATTTTTGTCTCTCTCATTTTGATTTAATATCTATCCCATTAATTACTATATTATTTTCGTGTGAACCATTAATTGTATAAAATATTTTAGGCTTTTTATTGCTGCCTTTTTTATTGGATTTGGTGTTGAAATTTTCAGCACTCTTGAGTTATTTTATGAAGGATAAAAAAGCAATAATTATTAGAAGCTAGATTTTAAAATAAGTATGAATTTAGAAAACCCTAACTTTTTTAATGATTAGCAAAAATAAAAGGAAATGCTATGTGATAAAAATTTGTCATTAGAAAGATATCATTAGTCTTTTAACCATTTGATTTTAAAATATTTAAATTGTCAATTTAATAATCTCGAATATGTTAAACAGGCATGCATAATGTACACAAATGCCCAATTACTATTTGGGGAAAATTAGTCGCATACTGCGGGAAATGTTTTTAGTATTACTCATTATTTAAAAAAAAGCACAGTCAAAATGTTTTTATTTTACTCCACAGTCAATATTTTTTGCCATCCTAGAAAATTTTCTCAATTACATACTCATTTATGATTAAAAAACATGTTGAAATTTGTAACTTCTTTCCATTAGTTAATCTAGCAGAGATTGATAACAAGTGTTTTTTTTCTTTCTGCGTCGCACAGCCGTATTTTCCTTATGAATATGACATTGCATTGCACTTTCGGGCATTGAGAATTGAAGGGGCAGCAATTTATTTTTCTTCCAAGTGTAGAGCATTCTTTTCAGCACACAGTTGGCACACTCGCCATTGCGTATCAATTTCGAGTGACGTCACAGGATTTTAAACATGATAAAAATTTCAGTTAGTTTTGTTAAATTGTGATGTAGGTAGAACACGTGTATTCCATATCGCAAGAACATGGTTTTTGATGCATTTTCAACTAGAATTAGTGTTTCTTTAAGAACATTTTAAATAATTAACTATTATCCGAGCTTAATGCGGAAAGTGAAATTCCACTTTTGCCATGAAAAAATTATTGAATGCGCAAATGTGGATGTTTACAACAAAAAAATCCAAATTAGAATACAACAAACAAAAGACTGGCTAATCAAACATCAATCTATGCTTTTATGCCTAGAAGAAAGTTTACAGAAGACAAAACGGAAAATATAAAACCTGTTTCTGATAATTCGGAAACTATTTTAGAAAATTCAGATTCAACAAAAGAAAATTTGGAATCAATTGAAAATTAAAATTCTACCAAAGAAAACTTAGATACAACTGAAACTTAAATACTACCAAAGATAATTTGAATACAACTGAAAATTTAAATATAACCAAAGAAAATTTGGATATAAAAGAAAATTTAAATACAAGAACAGAAAATTTTAAAATGGATTAAAAAAATTCAGAAGCTATTCTAGAACTCTCTAAATTTTTTATTGAAAATTCAGTAACGGAAATGAAGAAATTAATTTCATTCTGGAGCATGTAAAATTGCTTGAGAAGAAATTAGAAAATATTCAGTTTCAGACTGTTACAGAGCAAAGTTCCAATTTATAAAAACACTAAGGAAAATGAACTCTAGATTTGTCATATATTTTTCAATCTTGTAGATCTATTTCTGACGTAAGTTTTTTTTGTTGATGAATTTTGGTTCAATGAAAGTGACTGCACCATGATATGTCTCATATTTGTTTCTGATGGCTCTCTTCATTCTGAGAAAAAAGGTTTTAACTGTCAACCATCAATATTTACTTATAATGTAGGAAATGGTACGGATTTTCCAATAGGCTGTAATTTTCCTCCGAAGATTGGAAACTTATAGAGGCACCTTTAAGATCATTTATTAAATAATTTACGTTAGAAATCTGTAGAATTATTTCAAGAAACGGAAAGAAAATTATTAACGCATTTAATTTATTATTTCATAATTCATTTAACTCTTTATTTGTTATATATATATTAACTTTATTTATGGTTTTGTCATGTTAGAGTTGCATAAAAATTAAAACACTTACTAAAAAAATCGGTATTTTTCAAACAAATTTTGCTAAAATTAGGTGGTAACAAAAAAGTTAAAACTAAGTTTTTTTTTATTGAAATTTGGGTTCGCAGAAAGTTTTTCATTTTCATCTAAGTATGCTGTTATATGATGAATATGGAGACTATATAATAATTAACTACTGACAAAAATGTTGGCTGCAATATTCACTGAATTTTCACTTTAAAATCATCAAAACTATTTTTAATCATTTGATTAAAAAATGTATTGAACTAAATTACAGATTGTAATAAAAATTTAATAGGGTCATTCCCTAATTTACATTTGTAATATAAATTTATTTAGGTCATCTTTGTTCACTTATTTTCTACACATCTAGCAATTCAGTATACATTTATAAATAATTCTTATTTAATTCTGAAAAGTTCACCTGATAACTTTTTTTTTTTAAAAATAAGGCTAACAGTAATTTTAAGAGAAAAGTAATGCTTTTACATAATTGAATAAAGTAATTCTTTGTTTAAAGAATAAAATTATCAACTCCACATTGAATATATTTTTGAACTATTTATAGCTATTAGATATATAGAATATATTTTAAGCTATTTACAACTGCATTTTCATATGCATTCTGCTCTTATCTCTAGCAGAATTGCTCTTGTTGTGAAAGTAGTAAAAACTAAATCTTTTGAACATTAAATTTTCAAACTTAATTTTAAATAAATTTGCTAGTTATTATTTACTTATGACCTAAAATTTATTGCAAAAGTTTGATTTACTGAAAGTAGTCATAAGATATAAGCTGGGCTGCGTTGAGCTAAATTAAGGCTTAATGCGGATATTTTAGCGAGTTTTATTATATACAAACCACGTTTTTTTTTAAAAATCTCAAACAAATTTGCAAGAAAGAATGAATAGCTTGTTTCTAATTTTTATTTTATTTAGAATTTTATGTAGTTTTCAATATCATATTTTTTATTACATGTCATATGCATGTTTATTACATTTTTTGCAAGCGTTTCATGTTTTTTACATTTTTTAAAGTGAATTAGTTTTTTTTTTTACATAAAATTACCCTATTTAAGATATGAAGATCCTATTGTACGACAGTGATAGGCCATTAAGTGAATAATTAAAAAAAATAAAGTGATAAAAAATTCTTATATATGTAGAAAATAATTTTACGCTACAACAATCATAACAATATTATAAAATCATTTAAAAAAAAAAATTATTTTGTTTCATTTTCTGTTTAATACATAGTTCTGAAATTCTTTATTTATTAAATGTTTATCCTATTACCAATTTTCTGCATTTATTTTCTTTAGGTCAATAGGCTACTTTTGAAGCATTTTCAAAGTATTCTAATTTTACTTTTAAGTTGTGAATCTTATTATTTTCTAGCACCTCCCCCAGCATTAGATATTGAAAGACTTGCAGCAGATTGCTTAAAAGATGATGAAGACGAGGATGACGAAGACGATGAGGATCTTTTGGCAAATGAAGACTTATTGGTAATAATTTTTCTCTTATTGTTTATTTATAATAGTGAATTTCAGCAATGAAAAAGTTTGTAAAGATTATTTATTAAATTACAGTTCTTATTTGTTCAAATTTTAGTTCAATGTTCAAATTTAAGTTAGTAGAAGCTAACTTAAACAGACATGGCATTTTTCTTCTAATTAATAGAGCTCCGTTAATATCAAGATGGCAAATCAAATGACAAATTTTCTGAAATTTTTTTTACTGTGTTTCACAAATCTAAAATTTAAATTTCGACATTTTTTTCAAAATTTTAATATGGAGAAGATTTTGCCTTCTTTACCAACAAGCCCTTTTTTCTGCTAGAATTTTCATTTACGGGCTATTGCAAGTTTTTTTTTATTCAGAATTGTATGGTAGGAACTTAATTTCAAGAAAATGAGACTCAAAGAAAACATTTCAAAATTGTAGTCTTTATCCAGGATTGCTCACTTGCAAAAAAAATGTGTTAAATTTATAATATGAAAAGTAATTCCACAAACATTTGGAAAATCATCCACTCATAAGTAGTGCTCTTTTTATTATTTTTGAAACTTGTATTTTAATAAAATATGTGATGCGGCAAATTTTTGATTGAAATAAGACAGAGATTTCTACATGAATGGTAATTTTGTTATTAATTAAATTTTTTATGGAATCAATGCTGTATATTTGTTTCCACTTTTTTTATTTGATCCCAAAAAGATGATTTTTTAACCAAAAATATACTATTGCATTAGTCGTTGTATATAGCCCTCTAATCATTGCTAAATGTATAAAATCTATGTCACAGAATTTTAGAAACCACTTTTCTCTATGAACCACACTAACTTTGTAGGTCTGAACAATGAAAATTGTAATTAAAAAATTTCTGACACTATTAACTTTTTACATTATTTGATAATTTGCTAAGAAGTTACAATTTAAAAAGCTAAGCAAACCAAAGTTGAAATTTTTTTTGTCATTAGTTTGAATGTTTTATAAATTTGCAATTTTTTTCAATTAAATAATAATCACCTATTTACATATTTGTGTAGTATTTGTATATAAAAATTTATTTGAAGCATTTTAAGATTGATATGTTCAGGACTAAAATTGCTATCTTTCATGGGTAAAGCAGTGTTCTCAATGGCTTTTAAATAACCTTTACAATTTGGCTAATCTGTGACAAAAAACATTAGCCAAAGAGAGAGAAAAAGTTTTTAGCAAATTCAATTCACTCCCATCATACCAAGTTACTGATTTAAATTCAACTTTCGATCATGCAAACTATTAAAGAATTTCTGAAAAAAATCAAATTACAAGTATAGATACTAAAAAGCAATATATTTTAAAGTATTCTTAAAAGTATTCTCAAGCTTTTTTTTTTTGAAGTCTACATTTCAATTTCAACTATACCGATGTTGCTTAACAAGGTAACTTCAAAAATATCTCTATTACTTTCTGCATGAGCATATATCTCCCGGAGAGTGAGAGGTTATCCCCTCCAACAATTTACAACGTTTCAATGATTTTGCAAAATATTACTTGTAAAATCATGTTACGTAGGTTTTGAAATCAGTTAAAAATAATAAAGGTTTATCATTGAATTCATTTTTCATTAAATAATCTGTACAATGCAAAACTCTATTACATGCAGAGCTTCATATTTCAAGGTGCGCATTATAAAGATCTTCTACTATAATACTAAAAAAAAACTTTCAGAAAAGCAGAGTAAAAGGCTTATATATGTTTTCTATGTTTCTATAAATTTCTTTATCTCTTACATACTATAGTTTTATTCATACCAGATAGCTTTATAATAATTAATAAATGATTATAAAAAAGGAAGAAAAAACTAGAAAAAATATTGTGATGAGCGAAAACTTTGTAACTATAAATTGGCCTTATCCTTTTACTGAAAACTTTGAGCACAAAAATGCTTTTCTCACTAAATGTTAAATAACTTTAAGTTGAAAACACAAATAGGAAAACAAATCTCAATTAAACAACCGTTAGCTTAACTCGACAGTTAAGTAATTTTTTTGGAATTGTGCGTTGGAACTATTATTCATAAATTCATGAACAATCTCCCTGTGTTTTACTTAACTCTTCTTTAAAATGTTCAGCAAATGTTAAGGCTTCTATCTTTTCTACTCTATGATTGTTTCATTTTTTTTTTTCGCAGAAAGAGCTACAGAAGCTTTCACCTGATGAAGAAGAATGTGCTGATATGCCTGAAGAACCACCTATAAGTCATGATGAAAAAAGAACTTCTATTTCCAAAGAAACTTCTGGAAACGCTATTTTACAAGAACTACAAGACAGATTAAAGTTATATAATGATGCTATTCAAGCTGCTAAAGAAATGGGTGATAACTCAAAAGTTCGGCGCTATGGGAGGGCTGTTAAAGTAAAATTTAATTTCTTATTTTATTTTATTTTTCATGCAATCTTTCTCATCTAGTTATTATTGTTCAAGTAATTTTACTATGTAAGAAAATCCCAAAAATTATAGGTTTAAAGTTAGAAACTTTTTTTTATCACCAAATACTGATGCACAAATTATTGTAAGAACTAAGTCTTGAGTCTCAAATTAGTTAAGATATATTGCTTTTAACGAGATTATTTTTATTTTTTAAAAATAATATTTTTGTAAAGATATCCATTTTTCTTTTATTTTAAAAAAAAAATGTCACTTTTTAAGCTTCTGTAAAAGACCTTTACTGGTTTCAGCGACTACTTTTCTCATTGCTTATGTCAGATTTCAAATTATGAAAAGTCAAGAAGTTTTAAAAAATAGGCAGTTTAATTCTTTTTCATTATTCTAGCTTTGAGAGAGAGTCCTCCTAGAAAAAATTGCAAAATGCTGGAGGTATAAAGAAAGCTAAAAAATTAAAAGTTCACATAAGTATTAAAATATATCTTTATTAGTATACAATTTCATTATTCTTTCTTAATTAGTTTTTTTTATGCCTGTTACAAAAGTCTGCAGTATTATACTGCGGAACTGAGAGTATTAAAAAAAACTAATGCATATTAAATTTGATTAAAAGAAATTAAAAAGTAATGCACATTTTTAAAAATTATTTATCTTACTTGGTGCCAAAAAAAAATGATGCAAGTACTTCAATCACAACTGTGTCATGAGAGTAATGCATATTATAGAGATATTATTTTATTAATTATTGAAAATAATTTTTTTAATGGAAAGAAACTTTTTAGATTAACCTTTTTGAAAACAGTTCAGAAGAGAAAGAGCTAAGAAAAGAATTAATATTTCTTATTGCTAAACAATTATTTTAGAAATAAAGCAATAATCAAATTATCTTTAAAAGAAAATGAGGAATTTATTTAAGGAATTAGATTTGTTTACATATGTTTTTTCTTCTATTTATTAGTTTATTTTGGAAACTAAAAAGCAGCTTTTCTATAAAAGTTGATAATTCCTAGTTAATTCATTTTTTAAGGCCTGCTATAAAAATCTTTTTTGTACACAAGCTTTCTAATTAGTCCGATTCCAGGTACGCAGGCTTCTACTATATTCTTATATATATATATATATATATNTTTTTTTTTTTTTTTTTTTTTTAAAATTTATAGTGAATTGTATTTTGGAACTAATAAAAAAAAGTCTGATTTGAATGTCTTAAAAATTTAAAAAGTTTCAATCAATTTTCTAAGTAGTTTTTGTACTTCTAAAAAGAAAGCTCAAAATGTTGAAGAGTTTTTCACAAATTTTATATATATTTAACTTATTAACAGCAGTTTATTTTTAGAATAATTCACTCTTAATCAAAAACAACCAAAAATATTAATTAAAATTTTTCACCAGAAATAAATTTATGTTTGTTTACATTGTAGATCTGTTGTTCCGAATAATTTATTTTCCAGACTTGCTAAATTCGTGACGATTTTGGAAACTGAACTTTCCACTGTATTTAAAGTCTCTTACATTTTTTTCATTTAGAGAATTTGATAATTCGTTTTAATGCTTACTCTCTTCCTAAGAAAATCATATTTTTAGCAATTAAATTAATGTTACATAAAACTATTACAAGTCATTGAAAACTTTTTTTTAAGATTAAGTGCATTTGAGTTCAGGTACTCTAGCTATCAGATTTTGATTTATAGAATGTAAATTGAGACTGGTTGTAAATGTAAAGTAGGATTTATGTTATTTATAGATTTTTTAAATTTACATATTTTTATTAGACTAAATTGCTTGAAATATTTATTATCTAAATTTTCAGACTTTAGAGAGCATGATCAAAGTGGCTAAAGGAGGCGGTGTTGTCAATCAAGAAGATGTTCCACCTGTTGTTAGCATTCCAAAAGCGTCAGCTGCAAAACGTAAGTGACAAACTTTTCACCTTTAAAATGGTCATTTAAATAGTTGCTATTTGAAAAAGACTGCAGTAGATGCAAATAAATAATTGAAAAACCAACTATTTTACCTAATTCTTTGTTTATAACCGGTATTTGCTGTGGTGTATACCAGGAAGTTTTGGATTTAGCCACTCTTCTTAAGAGAAAGTGCAAAATAGTAGTAGTTACTCAAAACTACTTAGAAAAATATTTTAATCATTTAAGTTTTGTGTTCATTTAGTTTATTTTCTGAAGAATCATGAAGTGGTGGGCATAAATAACAAACTCTAGAGACTTTTTCTGGAACACTCAGCTTAAAGGCATTTTTATTTTATTTTAATGAAGTATAAAAGTGCTCATTTGTTATCTTTTATTTTATTTAATTATTAATTAGTTTTAACTGAAATTGTTTTATTATCAGTTTTGCAATTTATTTGCTATCGTTTTTATTCACATTTTATTATTTTATTCATTTACTCATACCCTGAATTAAAGAAATTGTTTCTTTCTGAATTCCTAATTTTAAAATTGAGAGCAAATTGAAAAATAATATTACAAATAAATTCTGACCAAAATCCTTGGATATTAAGGGTATTTAATATAAATTTACTTCTTTGAAGATAATCAAATGTTTGTATTAAATATATTCATTCATTTATGATTGTATATTTATGTTATATTTAGACTGTATTTTTATTTTGTATTTATAAAATTGATTAAGTATTTAAAATTGCAAATTGAATCTTCAAAAACTCCAATAGTTTTCTTTTCATTAAAATATTAAATGTTTATGTAAAATTTAGTTTTATAAAAATTGTTTAAACTAAATTTCATTCTAAATAGGTGAGAAATATTTAATCATATAAACTATTTTAGCTGTATTAGCTATTTAAGATGACTTTATATAAGCTATTTAAGGGGAAATAATTTTTCAGCAAATTGAGTTCTCTAAATTGATTAGATTTGTTTTAGAAGTAATTTGTTTAGTCATTTTGTCAAAAAACTTTCTAATATTCTCTAATATTTCTAATATATAACTTTCTAATTTATAATTTCCTTCTTTTTTAAAAATATATATCAACAAAATTTAACAGAGATAATGATTATTTGTAGTCTAGTTTAATAATTTAATATGAATATTTTATATCAACTTATACCTGAAACAATTAAAATAAATATAAAAAAGAATTTTTTTTTACGAAAGTCCATTAAATAATATCAACTTAAGATACTTTACTTTTTTTTATATCTAATCATATGATATATCTAATCTGTTTGTATTCTTGATCAAGCTGTTTAACTAAGGAGCAATTTATAATTAAGAAATTACAGCAAACATTGAAAAGTTCTGAAGCACTTAATTGCTTAGCTCAGATACTTTAGCAAGCAGGGAAGAGTAGCTATTTTAGCAACAATAATCGAACATAAAGTGCAAAACCCAAGATAATTTGCAGATGTTCGTCATTTATGCTGCATTTTATACTGGTCTTTACTTTGGTTTATCTATACATTTTTTTAAAAATTTTAGATTGAATAAACCAAATATTATTCTCTTATTTTATTTATGAAGGAAATTTTATGTTTTTCATGTTTTTTATCAATTATAACTTTTTTTAACTTAGGACCTGAGAATCAGTCTACAATAGAAATGCCAAAAACTGTGAATGATGCTGCTGAACCTAAGCCAAATACCGAAGCAAAACCTCTGCCTGAGCCATTATCTGAAATGGATACTAGTGGTAAAGGTTGCAGATTTTATTCTTTCCTATATACATACATAGAGGGCATTCATGGAATCCCTTTACAAACAATATTTACACTAAAATCATGACTGTGGATTTCAACTAACTGGAAAGCTCTAATCAGAATCAGATTTTTTTCTTTTTTTTTTACAAAAATAGATTGGAACTTTCAAAAATCTACTAATCAATCATCAGTAATTGTTTCCTCTTTTTAAATTTCACTGAAATATCAACACACATATAGTACCAAAAGAACTCTCCCTCTCAATTACCACTTAACCAAGTTTACACAAATTCAGTCACACAGCTGTGTCGGGATCTCATTTCATCTGCTGTATCAAATTTTTACTGCCTCTATAAGAGGAAGGGGAATGAATAGGAGATAAGAGCGTTCAGATTTTCAGGATCTAGGACTCAATCATAATGGCTTAAGGGGGTGATCTCAAATATGCAAATTAATAAGTGCAGACAATATTTAAAGTTACAAAATCAGACATAAAAACCTACTTTCTCTGAGTAAAAAAATTTTTTTTTGGACAAATTTGGACTTCTGATCCTCAAAGCAATCTGGGAAATATTGTCAAAATAGTTTGGTTAGGAGAGCATTTGAAAGTTAGGACTCGTTAAAGTTAATTTTACTTTTTTGTCTATTTTGTTATATCTCAAGAATTTTTTAAGCGAATTAAAAAATGTTTGTTCAATTAAAACATTTTTCACTCAATTATAGAATTTGTTTATCCAAGGATAATTCCTCGCAAAAAATAACTTTAAGTAAATATTTATTAATTTTTATTATTTTAATTAAGGATGGTCGAAAAATGTTTGAATTGTAAGGTATACAATTTTCTGCATCATTTTAAAGATTGTAATTTTTCATAGTAAAGTAGGAAATTTGAGAGAAATCGAATTTTAAAAATATGTCTTTTTCAAAATTCTATTTCTCATGAACTATTCGACCAATTTTGCTCACTTTTTGTATTTTGCCATGTAAAATTATGTTCTTAGTAAATTTGTAACTTGTAACTATTATTTTGATTATTATATGCAATAATTGCACAAAATTCTGTAAACCTAGCTTAAATATTTACTAAGATATGAACATTTTTATAAAAAACTAATTTTTTCGTCTTACATTTTTTTTCTCTAACTTTAGAAATATTTAATAAAACTAAAAAATATTTTTGGAGCAATTTAATATTAATTGTAATATTATTATTTTAAAATTTGAGAAAAATTTCTTTAAAACTGGGCAAGATATGAGTAATTAAAGTAGCTACTATGATTGTGTGGGAATTTTTTTTTTTTTTTTTTTTTTTTTTTAAAATTTATAGTGAATTGTATTTTGGAACTAATAAAAAAAAGTCTGATTTGAATGTCTTAAAAATTTAAAAAGTTTCAATCAATTTTCTAAGTAGTTTTTGTACTTCTAAAAAGAAAGCTCAAAATGTTGAAGAGTTTTTCACAAATTTTATTTGTGTTATTAAACAAGATTTATTAAAAATGATGCCGCCATTGTTGGGACTGATCTTCCATGAAAGTATCTTTTCTTTCGTATGTTTTGTTTCCTTATACAATCATATTTCAGTGTACGAACGCTTATTACAAGGAATTATCATTTTTTACGAACTTTTTTACGAGGAATTATAATTTTTATTTAAGTTTGTCTTATGATACAAAATAATATTTGTAGAAAACCCCTTATCATTTTGAGTTTCCATTAATAAGTGCAAAACTTGAAACTTTTTAAATTTTTAAGATATTCTAATTGTTTTTTTTTTTCATTAGTTGCTAAATATGATTCACTACAAAATTATGAAACAAGAAATTCAATTTTTTCTTCCTTTGCACAGAATAAAAGAACTGCCTTATATTGCTCAGTTTTCAATGAATTTTTTCAGATTTTAAAGCAAAAATTTTGTAATTAATTTTAAATTGCTGTAAAATATTTGGTAAATTTTATTGAATATTGCAAAAAACTGTAAAACGCAAAAAATTAGTTTCTATAAAAATTTCCATAACTTTTTAAATCTTTCAGCTAGGCTTACAGAATTTTGTGCAATTATTGCAAATAATAACCAACATAATTATTACAAGTTGCAAATTTGTTGCTGCATTTTTAAACATAGCGTGTTTGAAAATACTATTTTCCTTTGTAATTTATTGTTGGTTCCTCAAACCACTGAAAGCTTTAAACTTCATTGATAAGTTTGAGAAATTGCACGATCTAAACACTTCTAAAGTTATAAAATGATTCTTTAAGTATTTTTTGAGAAATATGAAAAAAATTTAATATTGTAAAAAATTTTCCATTATTTTTTCCACCCCCTCTATTGTTTATTTTTTCCTGTTGACTTTGTTTTCAAAACTATCACAAAAATTTCGCTGATGTTGTAATGAGTGCAAATTTGTTTTAGTTTTCATCTTTAAGTAATTTAAATTATTTTATGTTAAAAGGAATAATTTAAAATTAATTATTTCTTAGGTCATGTTCCTTCATCTCTGACTGCATTGTTGATGTCCAGGAAAAATGAGTATAAAATGGCTGCTTTAAATGCTAAAAAAGCTGGGAATAAAGAATTAGCAATGGAATACATGAGAACTGCTAAAGTAAGATTTATTTGTGTTTGTCTTTATTTGAGTACATTTCATAGTTAAGCCAAGTGACTTTTCAATTGTGTTTTTGGTGCTTATTGTCAGATTTCCACTTGTTTCTTAAAATCCCGATCTTTTAAATACAATATAATAATATGTGACTTATGAATCGTGAAAATAGTAATCACTTTTGACATGTTATATTTGTGTTAATTGTATTGCAAGTCCAAGTTATTTTTTTTATCATGTTTCAGGCACGACACATTTCTATAGGGTTTTGAAAATTCAGATATTTTTAATATGATTTAAAGGAACTTCTAATTTTTAGGTCTAACTTAACTCATAACACCACTTGCTGAGATGTGGCTTTCACTCTTGTGTCAATAAACTTCTTTTTTAAATTGATATGAATGCATTAAGAATTTTTTACTTAAAGCAAAATATATATACTACCCCTGGAAAAAAATATTTTGATCAACAATGATAAAAAAGTTAATATTATACTTTTTAGTCCTTTAATTATTTTTATTAAATGACAATTATATTTTTATTTATTCTGGAATGAAATGATCTTGACAATTTTTAAATGCTTTTTTTGGCATTATAATAAACCTGAATTACAACAAAACTAAAAAGACTTTAAAAATGGCATTATAAGAAACAACCTGAGCATGCCTATCAAAATGGAACTCCATACAGTGTTATATCATCCATAATAATTTAAAATTATTAAAAAATTGTAAGTACTCTGTATTCTCTTTAGTACAACCCTCCTTTACTGTGATTCTTTCCTTACAAAGACTGATATATATAGCTCAATTTGCTATTCTGTAGACGTAATGTTCTTTTAATGTCCATTTAAACGTCCAAATTGAACAATTCATTTCAATATAGCAAATTTTTTTTAAATTTCTGATAAATTATTCCAGAAGCAGGTTAAGCATTCTTGCAGTTTCCAAAGAAGTATTTTACCATAGAAAATTAAGCAACAAATAGAGATAGTCTCAAGGAAATGATTCAAATCACTATTTGTCACTATATCACTATTTGTCACTATATCACTATTTGTCACTATATCACTATTTGTCACTATTTGTAAATCACTATATGTTATTGCTCAATAAACGTAGATTTTTTTGAAATTTCTTTAAATGAAGAAAGATTGACGGGACCACCTATTCTTATCCTAGGTAGTCCTAAACATGCTTTATGCATACCTTCCAACTATTAAAGAATTTACCTAGTTTCAGAAAATAATTTATCTAGTGGTAAGAAAAGTAATTTATTGATATTTTAATAAATTAGAATTTAAAATATTTTAAACATCACTACATATGAATAATTTAAACAGCTATATTAAAGATCAGATAGAGCATTGGGTATACTGAGAAATCTTGACGGATATTTTTTAAGAATTCTACTTGTTTTAAAAATGTCGGCTTTCACTCATAACCAGTTATAAATATATTTTGAACAAAACTCAAATGTTAGAAAATATGGCTCTATGGTTGATGAATTTTCATTATTGAGAATTTGAAAAGCATACTGCATCTTAATCTGGAAAATTAGTGTGTCAAATATGCATTCATAATATTTGTATATTTATTTGCCAGTGGTTCAATAAATTCATTAATAATTTTTTTCATGTTTAAAGATGTTCATGTTTCAAGTTAAAGATTTTCATTTTTACTCTTTTTGTGAAGTGCAACAAAAATTTATTTATTTTAGAGTTAAAACACTTGGTATTTATTACTTTCTTCTTGATTTTATTTTTGATTAGCAGCTTTTTGGACTAATGCTAATAACAAGCAGTCATTTTTGTTAAATAGCATAATGCCCCATGTTTAGCACCAAAATTAAAAATTTTGGTAGAAGGAGATTGAAGAATAATGTTCATACCAAAATAAGTCCTGTATTTCGAGTTTTGAGTAAATATTTGATATAGTTTTGTATGCTCACGACATAGTGAACTCGTGCTATGACATCCATTTTTGTTTGGACCTCAAAAGTTGCAATATTGAACATAGACTACATTAACTACTTTTAGTTTAATATATTTTTTTACATATCTTTGACTAAATTATAATTTCATTATATTTAATTGAATACTAAAAACTTTCTACATTTTTTAGGGATTTGATGCAGTTATAGAAGCAGCTAATGCCAATCAACCTGTTGACTTATCAAATTTACCCCCTCCAATAGGTATTTTTATTTTAAAATAATTATATATATTACTACATGAAGTTTTTATTTTATTTTTAATTAAGATTATTTTAAATATTGAAGATATTCTAAATAACCTGTTTTGCAAATTTTTAAATGTGATAATTTTTTATATTGATTAGTATTATTGGTTATTATTCTATTTGTCCTTTGTGACAGTAAGTCAATAAATTTATTATTTTTATAGAAACTTTTTATACTTCTAAGTTATTTGCATGGAATCTATTATTACTATGTTGGAAAATTTTATGTGTTATGCCTCCTGAAAGGTTAGGATCAAAACTTATAGATTTAAGTTGAAAGCTTGATTCCTTTTTAAATATAGTTTATGTATTATGTATCACTACATTTGCTTTAAAGCTTTTAGTTATTTTTTGTGATGTGTATTCATGTCACTAGACATTATAGAATCCATATAATTAGGCAAGTTAATTAAATAAATCAAAATGTATTTATAGCATCAAATATTTAAGAATTGTTTATCAGTTTTCAAATTTTAGTTATATACTCACCAGTGCTTAAATTCAGAAAACCATGTTTTTGTCGCAACTGTGGACACAATATGCCGACAGATGTGAACCTGTGTCTACAGATATAAAAACATAGATGAAAATAAGTGAAATAGCCAATGTGTGTGAGATTTAAGTTGTTCGGGATATCAAAAATCGCATATCTTATACAAATATTGCGTATATTTTGAGAAAAACTGTAATGACATTTTAAAAGTTGTATAACACACATTTACTTCAAAGCACAGCTACTTCAAACTATTTTAATATCTTTACTTCTCCATCTAATTTTATGTTTTTATGAAATTCTTATCTTATCCATCATCTTCCTCGTATTCAAGGTGCGGATAAAAAGTTCAACAAGCCCTTATTATAATTTTATTATAACTAAATAAATAAAAAAAACTAGCAAATAATAGTAAAAGTAGAATACAAGAGTAAAAGAGTATAACAAATAATAATAATTTTCAGCAATGGGTCGCAAGTTTTCTAATTTTACTTTCCCATTCTGACCTAAGTGATCTCATTAGAAAGTCTTAACTTTTGTGTGATTTAGTGCAGGCACAAAAAACTCTAAACAACTCTTGCTTAGAGTTATTTATTAAGTTAGTTGATTAAATAACTCTAAAATAGCTGATCTTTTTTGTCATGACCAAATATGTTAACTTTCATTAAATTAATAATCTTTTCAGCAATTTTCATGAAAATTTTAAAAACCTTACTTTTAAATATTTTTATACTATAAATAGTTTTGTTTAATTTAGGTAGCAAAACTATTACTTCTGGAGCTATTCCTTCAAAGAAAACTGAAGATCAAGTGCAAAATTCATCAGCTATGGAAATTGCAGCATTAGCTGCTGCAGAGAATGGTATGCATCTATGTCCTTTGAAAATAAGTATTTATTTACATGTGAGTATTTTGAATAAGAATGTATAGCATATTTTGAGGCTTTTTAATTTATAATGTGTGGTGAGGAAGGCTTTAAAATTATGCAATTGATGCTTAATTTGTAATTTTGTAATCATTATTTTGCTCATTAGTTATTAATGAATCATAAGCATAAGTAGTATTTCTGATGTTTTAAATTTTACATGTAAAGATAACTATTTTATTAGTATAAGACAGAGCAGGAATGGCCAATTCCACTTTAAATTTTAATTTCTACTTAATTTTATTCTAGCCTTGCACTAATTTTAGACTTTAAGAATTTTTATTTTTAATTTAACAGATTTTGGTTAGTTTATATTATCAGAGAATGAGTGTTTTAAGATGAATACAAGTAACTTGAAATGCTTATTTGCTTTTAATTATATTAATATTATATTATGTATGTACTAAATGTTATCAAAATATTAAAGGAAAAGGGTTAAAAAGGAATAAAATTTAAAATAAATAAGAAAAAAAAAATTGTTAAAAAGATAATTAATTCTGTATAACTTACCACTAATATTACAATTCCAGTTATTGTGCTGATTTGATTTTCATACTTTTTGTGTATATTTTGATTCATTGTTCTCTGTGCTGTTTATTTCACCATTTATTATTATTTATGTTCATCTAGTCTGCAGTCTTAGAGTAAACTTGATGTATCATATTATTTGTTGTTAGCCTGTTGTCATATTGTAGCAATGATTTTACAGATTCAATAAAATTTCCTGGATGCCTAGAGTTAGGTGGGGCAGTAATATTTATTGTTTGTTACATAATACAGAGCATACTCTCCAACTCCTTTAGAATTTTGGTAAGGTCAGAAATTATGTTTTATAGTGGTTACAATAGTAATGTATTAATATTTTAATGAATTAGAATTTAAAATAAGAATTTCCACTAATACATAAGAATAATTTAAACAGCTATATAGAGGGTTATGTACACATATGTTCTTAGTTTTATATAAATTCTATTTGTTTTAAAAATTTCTGCTTCAGTTCCTTATCACTGGAAAAAATTTTGAGTGAACCTCAAATGTTGAATGTATACACGACAACAAATAAAGGAGTTAAACTAAACTGCACCCTAAAACAATTTTTTCTTTGAGTCCAGTAAAAAAATTTTTACTTTATTAAAGTCTGTACACTTTTTTATATTAGTATTTTTTTTATTTGATGTTGTTCACTTGCTCTTTAGAATTCTTAACAAACGTTCTGCTATTCTGGTGCTTTTTCCTCAAGAAAAAAATCAGTGTGAAATCAATTGATTTCCATTGTACCTCTCTGAACTGTTAAAAGGGTTTCAAATTGCTTGACCACAAACATGAACATTCTGGACATTAAAGAAAGTACTCTCAATATTTCTCAGAACTGCAAAATCATCAAAAAGCTAGTGAAAGAAAATTTACGAGTCCCCATGGGACACATCACGTGAGACTGCAGTAAATCATGAATTGGTGAGGAAAAGGGAGCTCAAACCACAAAAAGTTCAGCTCCTTACAAAGAAGGACAAGCATGTGCGATTCCAAAGATGCTTTTGTTTAATTGTCTGGCTTAAATTCAGAAATGGAAGTAAATCCTCTTTTAAGACAAGAAGGTATTCACCATGAAACAGGCACATTACTACAAATATGACAGGATCTGATTGGGCTGATACTTTTAGTACCTCTGCCTCTATTAAGCACCTCCAAAATACATAGATGATCATAATTTGGAACAGAGTTTAAACAGTTTTAAAATACTCCTCATTTTCATAGACCAGGGGGCCAAAATCAGTCAAGAAGCATATAGACTGAACATCCTCAAGTTAATGGTACTTAATCCCATGAACAACATATGGTCAGTTTTTCAGATGAGTGTGTGTGCTAGACACTTCAATAATGTTGAGTTACTTAAGCTATCTGACACAGATTGTTGCTGGAAGACCTGTGGTCTATTGCCAAAAAATTTGTGACACGTTTGACACTCTATATCGCCACCAATAGGACCCTTTTTTAAACATTTTGAATGTGTTTTTAGCAAACATCCAAGCTGTTATTATTTATTGTAGTTTGAATTTTTTAGATTAATTAAAATAAATGTAAAACTTTTTCTCTCCTTGTTGTCCCTCTATGTTTTCATTAATTAGATTTTTATGTAGTTTTGACTAATCTATAACCAATTCTGACTTTGGTCAATGAAGATTTGCAATAATGACATCTTTATATTTCTTTGCTTGTCAAACCATATTTAATACAGTTTATAACTAATATTCTTTTTGTTATAAATAGATGAGGAACAACCTGCCATATTTTCTGCTCCTCCTGCTCCATCTTCAATATTGGAATGTCTTCAACAACGCTTAGAAAAATATAAATCTACTAAAGAAGCAGCTCAGTCTGAAGGAAATAGTGGTAAAGTTCGGCGTTTGGATAGAATTGTAAAAGTAATTGAAATTTAGTTTCTCTTACCCTGTTTTGTTATTTTCCTGCAATTTTTCTTCCGCATTATTGCGAAGAGTCTGTAGCAAAATTCAGGACAAAACTTAAAATATAACTTATTTTCTGAGCAATGCTTCCTGTTATTTAACTAAAATTGGTTACCTGGTCTCGAAAAATTAGGTTTCTTTATGAAGCATTTCGACAATACTCTTACTCCAGCGAATAGAATGAGTAATCCGAGTGGAAGGCTGTTGGCCTTTTGAGACAACATATGATTGTTGCCAATTTATTTCTGTGCTTTAATGTTGGAAAATTGCCCTATAATTGAGTTGTAATTTATCAAGTTATATCTGAACTATGAATATGGCTTAGTTGATCTAACAGTGACTTAAAAGAATATGAGTATAGCTGTTACACTTGTGCCGCTGCTATTTATACTTGTATGCGAGAGTTACATGTTTCTATAGTCTGAGTGCTCTAATTGAGAACATATCTAGGTCACTTTTTATTAAAGAGAGTGTCTTATGTGCTACTTGACACGAAGAGGATCAGTAGGTAATTAAAGAGAAAATATAACAATTTTAATGATTTTACATTGTAACTGCCAGTCTACCCTGTAGTGTGTTATGTTACTCAAGTAAAGTTGATCACAAGCCTCAAAAGACTAGGTTGTTTTGTGAAGCATTGCTACAAGTTCATGAATTTCTAATGCATTTTACATTTTAATAAATAAACATGATAGGTGAGATGTTTTTTTTCCCTTTATATTTGTTGTATAGAGAGAGTCAAACCATTTCTGTAAGTATTGTAATGAAAATAATGCAGACAATTTAGAGATGAAAAGCCCCATGAATATATTGTTTTTATCATTTTTATAGCCGATTTATATAATACTATTTATTTTTAACTGCGATATAAATATTCACTGACCCTAATCCTAGGACATCTTAAGACATTCTTAGTCTTATAAGTATGTATTCTAGAAAAGTTTCAAATTTTTGTTTTATTTTATGCCAAGTGAATTGTTTTCTATGTTTAAATTCTTGTAAATATTTAAGTTATTTTTCTGAATTGCATATCAATTATTTCTATCAATTACAGTCTTATGAAACTGCTATTAAAAACTACAAAGCTGGACGAAAAGTAGATTATGATGATCTTCCTTGTCCTCCAGGTAATGCTCTATGAATTTTGCCTTATGAAATAGTTTATTTTGTACTATATTGTAGTTAACATACAAAACAAAAAGAATTATATGCATATATTTATACAAGCAAAATTTAAATAACCCAAGCATGAAATTGTGTAATGTTAAATAAAAATGTTATTTTGGAGCCATAAATGCAAAAAGTTTTCAAGTGATCGAAATAATTTAAATTGTTTTTGAAATCCTTATTCTGTATGCTAAAAAATAAGCAGCATTTATCTTTGAAAGCAAATAAATGAAAAATTACGTAGTGTGTTGAGAGATAAATATTCACTGTAATGTTCAAAATTAAAGAAAGAAAATAGAGCTGAACTCCAACATGGTATTTCCTGTTGAACCTGAAGGGATACACGTTCTTCATTGAATTTTATTAATAAAATAGTTCATTTAAATATATTAAGGATCTGATTTTGATAGAAAATAATCAATTTTATATAATAACATTATTTTTAGGTTAAGGCTATATAAATTATAAAAAATGAAAGATTGGTTATGAGTTTTTTTTTATTATGTGTTCAGTTACAAAAAAGAGTTACAATTAGTTATTATAGCATTCCCCATTAATCTTATGAAATTAAACTTCAAACTTGCTTTTTATCATATTTATTATTTCATTACAGCACAGAGCGTATGCACAAGCAAATGAGAAATTTATTCATTGAAATAAAACAAAATTATAGTAGACGAATAATAATAGTACATAGGTTCCATTTTTTAAGAAAATTTTGTATTTTGTGGAAACCAATAAATATTCATTATCATCAGGGACACCAAAATTGGAGGTCACAGGATATCCTTGTGACCTCCCAAGCAATTTTACTATTCTGCAAATTTTGCTTGGCCATTCGGTATATTTAGGAAAATTCATTTTCTCTTATTTTATTTCAAAAACAAAAAACGATATTGTGTATAACATATCTTACTTTATTTAAATTTCTAATTTATGTTGAGAAATAAATTGTTAAGCTCCAAGGATTGGGGAGCTATAAACAACAAAGGATGTAGTCTTTAATATAATTAAAATAAAGTATGAAAAATAACAAGATATAATAATTGGGGTATAATCTAAAACTTGAGAAAAAAGAATGAGAAGCTCGCTGGAACGAAATTGTAGGGGTTAGCAGTCAACTAAGACATAGCTTCAATATTTCAAAATTTTTGTTCTTATTTGATGGGATAAAAATTAAAATTAATAGTGATATTATAATCGTGGGAGTTTGTCCCATATTAAGGACCATCTACTAATTGTATAAAGTATTTTAGATTTTATATTGTAGTCTTATTTTATACTGTTTAAATTTTCAGCACTCTAGATTTGTTTTATGAAATTCAATAATAATTCGAGACAAGATTTTAAAAAAAGTTTGAATCTAGGGACCCTTTACTTATATTAAGAAAATTAAATGTGATTCAAATTTGTCATTAAGAAAATACCATTCATCTATTAACCATATGATTTAAAAAAATTTTTTTAATTCTATTTTTTTAAATCTGGTTCTTTGTAGCATCCCAAGTTATTTAATAAAAGTTTGAGAAATGAAATTTAAACTGTTTGGTGTATAAATATGTAAACAAATTATCATATTGTCTTAAATTTTAGGTTTTGGTCCATTTCCTGTTGAAGGCAATAGTGCAAGTACCCCATCTACTGAAGACAAGCCTAAAGAACCAAAATCGACTCCAGCAGCTAAAGCAAGTGCTGCCCCTAATCCGGTTGTTCCAACTAAAAAAGCTACTGCTCCGCAAGTTCCTGTACGAAAGCCAAAAGGTATGGTCTTCTTTCAATGTTCTTAATATTTTAGTTGATAAATTGATAGTAACAGTTATCAATTGCAATAATCAATGGCCTCTAAACTAGTGTACAAATGAGAATTATTATTTTACTCATTTTCTTATATTTATTCTTTGCTTATTTCTTGAAATTTTCTTGCTGATTAAATAGAAAAAGTGTATGAAAAGTTGTTCAGAAAATTAAGAGTGACTTTTAGTAAAATTTTCATGTCTGCTATACTTATTTTTTTCATTTTAACTTATTTGATTTATAAACTTATTTTAGTAGCAGTGATTTGAACTTCTATACTATTTTAAGTGGGGCAGCTTGAAAGGGCAATGCGTAATTGACCATGTTTAATGATTGGTTTGTTCTGATCTATATAATAACCAATTTTGTTAAAAAAATTTACCCTGTTACTTATTAAAGGTCTTGACTAAAGCTAATTGAACAAGTAATTGTGTTCAGTGTAAAACAAACCATAAGTACAAACAAGTTTTTACTATCTCTTCTATATAGAGTGATTCTTGATATAACTACAAAAGTATCACCTGCCATTCACACACAAAAAAAGAATTTTTGCTTAATTAATTTTGTTTAATTGTATAACCCTCAACAACACCAGGGTTTCTAATAAGAGTTACTACAGTTTCGAACTTAGGTTTAAGTACCTCCGACAAACCTGCAACATTGACTTTTACTGATTATTCAGGTTGAAAATTAAGCATAAATCCTATTTAGTGTCATCTCTGTCACATATGGTTGCTTTATAATAACTTGTATTAATTATTTCTACCAACATTTTCTTTGCAAAACAATAGAACTTGATTATGATGCATCAGAAGCTTATGTTCCAAATATATCTTCAATTTGTGATAGCATTACAATGGAATTTTCTACTAACTCCTTTTTCCTTTTACCTGTGGAACCTTTCAATTACACATATTACCAAACATTTTTCCAAGCACTTTCTCTGAGGCAATTTCTTTTAACAATTTTATTTTATGGTTGATATGGTTTACTACCATTTGGCAGTGAAATGTCATATCAACTATATGAAGAACAACATTTGCATTAATATCAATCCCTTGACTATGCAAAAAATCTTAAAATTTTGTCCATTGAGGATTTACAGCAAAGGTTATGAATAAATCAGCTTTTCCCATTTTTCTTGACAACACCATTGTGTTTTGAGAATGCTATTGCATTGATCTAGGACCTGAAAGTATGCTAGGAAGTCTAACAGCATATGAATCTAATCTTTCCAAGTCTAACAACATCTGAAGTATTCTCAGAACTGTTCTATGAGATCATGAGACCATTCATGGTTTTTTTGAGAATCATTATTCATAATAGCGCAGTTCCACTCCATAATAACATAGAACAGACCCAACAGATTTATCAGAAATTCTATTTGACAATAGGCAAATCTGTGCTGTTGTTTATTAGTTGGTATCACGCTTGTTGTTCTCCAGACATTGCCATCACTTTTAAAAGTGATGCAAGTGATACCCTTAAAAAAGATTTTTTTTCATCTATCACAGAAAAAGCTGAGGTTGCAAATGTAGTAGTGTTGGATCAACTGTGAAAAAATAATCACATCAGAATGAATTTCAAGTAAAAGTTCTTTCAATATTCTCTGAGTATCAATATATCTGAGTATTCAATACTGGCGAAGTCTACTTTTTTGTAATGACCACAGTTGAACTTCGTTCTGTCATGCTCTGCAGGAAACAAAATAAGCAAGCAACTGAGTTTATACATTCATTACTGATTGTAACATCTAGAAATGGAGGTACATTGTCTGATAAAGACTAACCAAAATACGAATTTTTATTAAAACATCTTGATTCTTCAACATTTCTTTGTTGAGCATACCGATATCGTATTTTAATGTCATTACGTTTATTTTCCTGCAATTGCGTGTACTTATAGAATGTTCAGTTTCATGTTGCAGTTGATATTGCATAAGATATTTACAGTGATCTATTATGTAACTAAGATAGTTTGTAATTTGCAATTGATTTATTTCTCAAAATGATGTGATTGATGATGTATTTCTCAAAAGTAGATTAAATAAATTTACTAACAAAAGATGATGATGACTGAAGGACATTTTTGGAGCTGTTTGCTGCAATTTGTTTATAGCTTGCTTGCCTTCAGGATGAGTGGATGGGTTTAACAGAAGAAGAATATCCGTTACAAATAAATAAGGGATTGAAGTTTATGCTTGTCTGACATATCCATGAGTGATAAGAAGAACAAAAACATTTAAGGTGTAATATGTGTAATATTCACTAAGGCTGCAATATAATAAGCAGCTTTTTAATTAATTATCTGCACATTTGAATCAAATTATGAACGCATAGATTATTTGTTCATATTAAGTTCATATAAGAATATAAAGTGTTCATGTTCTATATTTTTTTTTTTTGAGAATACATGAACCAGCATAATTTTATTCATTGTCAACACATGTACAACAAAGTAAATGAAGAAATATATTTTTCATATCAAATTTTAAGTGTGAAATATTCAAAATATTGATAAGTTCTACTTTAGCAGCATTAAAATAAATAGCATTTTAACTCATTAGTTTCAACGTTTGTAGTCACACAGTCAAATTTATTTAATAACATTATAAAAATTTAACTGTAGCAGAGTCAAAGTTCATAATAAAATACTTAGATAACAAGAAAGACCAAATTCTCAGGAATTGCTGCAAAATGAATCCTTGATCAGCATCTTCATATTTCATAAACTCACGATTATGAGTCTAATAATTTATCTGTTTTTTTTTCCTACCATGTTTTCATTTTCATATGTAAATAACAAAGACAACAAAGGCTTTATCTAGAAAGGTATAATATATTTAGTTGTAACATTTCAGTGGGATATTTCTTCATCCATTACTAAGTTGACAGGACAGCATTAATTTTATTTTTAGAATTTGCTCATACAAAGTAGCTTACCTTTTTAACTATGTATTTATTATATAGGCGGAAAAAAATGCAACATCCTAAGAGTTTTAATAAATAGATTTAGGCAATATTAATTATATATATTTGAAAAAACTGAGGCAGGGATAGCCTGGTTGGTAAGACGTTGTGCCCATATCCAAAAGGTCATGAGTTCGATATCCACTGGCCAAGGATTTCCGTGTAGTAAATGGTGATTGGTGCAAGTTAAATTTGTCTGGTGACAAAGTCCTCCATATTCCCATAAGAAATATCTCTAGGTTTACTGAATTGGAGATTGATCGTTCTTTGGTTCAAGTCAAAATTATGATCTGTGGCTGAATGAATAGGTCCGCTTTATAAACGGATTGTGACGTGTGTGGCTGTGGTAATTTTCTTGGCAATAGATGGCACCGCTGAAAAACAAGATACACATCTTCTGCCTTAAATATGTTTGGTTTCACCAAATATGCTTGCTGGATTGGCAAGTGGCATTAGAAACAACATCATTTTCAAAAACTTATTACTACTCTACATTGATTTTTTTACAGTAGAAAGACAAAGATTCTTTAGGGATTTTGTTATTTTGACAAAGATTGTTATTGTTTCAAATAAGAAGGCAGTATTCAATAAGCAAAATAATACCTGAAAATGATGAAGTTTAATTATAATGTAAATTTTTTTATTAATATGTGCACTAATTTGTTTTAACATTTAATGCCAACTAAAAATTTTGATTATATCTTCCAGATCTAATTATGATTTATATTCTTATATATTTTGAAAACAATAGTTTAAAAAAAATTCGAAACATATCATTATAAATATTATTAAGTTCTTGAAGACGTTGAGCCCATGTTCAAGTAGCCGTGAGTTCAATCTCTGACGGCCGAAGATTCCCATGTAGTAAATGGTGACTGATGCACCTTACATTTGTCGGGTCACTAAGTCCTCTCTGTTCTCAATACAAATCATACCTCTGGGGGAACTGAATTGGAGATTGATCGTTCTCCTGTTCAGGTCAAAATTACGATTTGTGATTGAATGAATGGGGCCCACTTATAAGCGGGTTGTCACATGTGTGTGACTAAAATAGTATTCTTGGTCATAGATTGCACCACTGAAAAACAAGAAACGCACCCTCTGCCTTAAAGACACTTGGTTTCACCAAGTAGGCTTGCTAGATTGGCAACTGGCATTAGAATTAATAATATTTTCAGAAACTTATTACTTTTCATTGATTTTTTTTACAGTTCAAAGAACAACAACATTTACTGGTGAAAAGCAGTTAGAATTTCTGTTAGAAAGACAAAAATTGTTCAGGGAAGCTGCTATTTCTTCAAAGCAAGAAGGCAATATTCAACAAGCAAAAGAATACCTGAAAATGATGAAGGTTAATTATAATGTTATTTATTTATTAATCTATGCTTTAATTTGTTTTAGCATTGAAAGCCAAATGAAAATTTTTAATTATAACTTCCAGATTTACATGTGTTGATTTACATTCTTATATATTTTGAAAATAAATATTTTTAAAAAAAAATATCATACTAAATAGTTATTAAGTTCATTAACGCAAATTCACATTTTGGCTATATATTGCCAAAGTAATTGTGTACTGATAAAGAACCAAAATTCCAGTCTTTTTTTTTCTTTTTATGTGCCAAAGCAATCAAGGACTGGTGCAATTTTTAGTGTTTTTGAATTAGAAATTCTTTAGAAATTTTGAGGGAAATTTGATTTTTATGAGCTTTTTTGATCGATAAAGATAAATAAAATATAAGGGTGAAAGAAAGAAGTAAATTTTCTTTTCAAGCTATATGTCTCTTCACTTATTCATGCTTTGGTTCATTGACTGAAGTTTATTATTGTTAGAATTTCTTGTTAATAATTTAACTTTTTGTACACAAGTTTCATTTCATTTTTTTTTTATATGCATTGTTTCTTCAAATTTTAAATTTATTTGGTGTGTTAACTTTATTTCGACATTTTCATTTTCTTGTCTACAATACTCAACAATTAGTTCTTTTAATTCTATTAATAGTGGTAATTAATTTTTGTATCGTTGGTGTTTAAACCGTTGTTATCGTTGGTGTTATTACTTCTCATAGGTTAAGTTTAATACTACTGATTTGTGATTTTATTCTCCATGATACATCACATGATTGATGAATCACATATCGCAATTCACATTAAAATGATTTATGAATCACACATCAGTATTCAAATTAAGCTGAAGCACACATAATGATTCTAATTAAAGTGATTTATTAATCTTGACTTACATTAAAGTAAATTATGAATCACACATTGCCAAGGTATATTTAATTCAAAGCCATAAGAATATCAATTCTAAAATATTGTGGAATTTTAAAGAGGAATATTAAGTGATGGTATTTTGTTTTTGGGGAGCCAAGGAGCAATGTATACAAGTATTAGATGTAATGATACTGTGCAACAAAAGAAAGTTTTGTGCTATGTAGATTAAAGCAAAAAGACAACATGAATAAAACACAAATGAAAATAATGATAAATTGACCAACTATAGTTTCAGTTCTATTAACAAGAACCTTCCTCAGTGTCTAAATGTCTAATGAAGGTAGAGAAATAAAGAGACAATCTTCTTCATCATTGCCATACAATTATTATCTGGATTAAATGTTTCTAGAATTATTAAATTTTAATTATATTAAAGTTGGTGAATTTTCTTCCCTTAAAATTTTATTTGTGTTATAATTCTATATAATTTTGTTCGCTTTCATTGATTCCATGAATTATAATAAATCGTTTTTTTTTTTTAAATAGGGCTTTGATAGTATGATTGAAGCTGTTAAAATGGGTTTACCAATTGATACAACACAGGTAATGATTTTGAACAATAATTTCGTAAAAAAATGTTTTCCATAGTTGGAAAAATGTTCTTTTTAAACATAACTGTGATTGATTTATAGATTGCATTAGTTGTATTTTTTATCTATTAAATGCTAGAATTGGTATATTAGGATTTCATTTTTATATGAATTTTTGTAAATGATAAATGCCAACATTAAAACGCACAAATATTATTACAATAATTAAGTAGAGCTTACAAGTTGCAATGTTACATTGGAGCTTTATTTTCAGCATACAAAAACATACAGAATAATGGAAATGAAAAACATTACAAATTAGCAGAAGGAAATAAATAACTTATTGAAGTAAAAACTTGTTCATATCAGATATGATCTATATAAGCCAAACCAAATGTGTAGTAAAATTCAGTTTAAAAGAGCATGTTAATACATAAGAAATTTTGCACGTCATTGTTTATCAAAAAAATCATAAATTCCTATAGTTCATCTACTGTTATTAATAAAATTGAGTGCGAAGCACTATCTCTCACCCACTGGGGGCGTCAAAGATTGTCCCTAGTGTAAGAAAAGCAAAAATTAGATTGCAATATCAGTGAATTCATTTGCAGTTCATAAAAAAGAAAAAATAATGTTAAAAAAAATTTTTTTACTTGGATTTAAAGCCAAAAAAAAAAATTGAAATAGAAAATTTAAAGCAAAAGAAACGATAAATGTATATGTTTTGGTTCATTGAATTTCTTCGCAAATGGCATCCTAAGCAAGCAGATTTTTAGTACGAATTTTGTTCTTGTTAACTATCTTAAATCAATTTCCTTTCAACATTCGAGCATTTTTTAACTTTTTAAATTTTTAGTAGTTCGAGTTTTAAACAATACAAATATTGCGCAGTCTTCTTTGGTTTTCTTAATCAAAACAAGTTTTTTCTATAATAAGACTTTTGAATTAAAATGTAAAGTTATTCCATGTGTACATATGCTGTTGAAAACCTTTTGAGTAGATTTTAGTTATGCTTTATTGATAATATATATTATATATTAATCTTTTTTTTTTGCTGAAAAAATAAATTGTTATATTTGAAGATTCCTACTCCTCCTCAACTTGAGTCATCAGATTTTGTCATTGTTGATGCTTTGGACTGCGAAGAAAATAATACAAGTGATCTTAGCCTGGAAGAATTGTTTGAAACTCTCATAAAAGATTTAACTAACCAGTTGGAGGTATTAAATTTATTTATTATGATTTATTCTTTAGATTTAATCATTTTTAAGATGTTGGGTGTATATGAAGTATCAGAGGATTATGTCAAACTTAACATGTCATTGACTTGTCACATGCCATTCACTTGACACACATTGAAATTATTTCAAATAATATAAAATTATATGAATATGAAAAAGTCATTTAAATTTTTACTATTTTTCAATATTTTCTGTGTCAAATTGTTGCACTTCCTTGTGGACAAACTTTTAGGGGAGATAGGGCATATAATAAGGATAAATAATTGCATTGGAATCCATGAAAAGTCATTGTACACCACTTTGGATGCTTCCCTCTGATCAACTGTTTCTATATGTACCTTTAAACAGATTATATTATTTATCTTAATTTCATGTTAATTTTATGTTTTCTAATCATTTTTGTTGAAAATGGCATTCAAATTGGTTTGGTATTAGATTTTTAATCATAATTTGATGACTTAGCAACTAGTTTGACAAGGTCCTGAAATCATTGAATCAGTATAAAATAGCTACTTCTACATCTATTTGAATGGGATTTTTGCCAATAATTATTATTAGAAAGCATAAAATCAACTTGAAATTAAGGTAATTCAGATAAATAAAAGTACCACGTAAAAACAGTTCATAATAGGGAAGTGCCCCTAGAAGCATACAAGGACATTTCTGATCATGGGTTCCTGTGCTGTTCATAATCCTTATAATGTGCCCTACCTCCCCTAGAAGGTTTTTGGTCTGAAAGGTAAATATCTTGTATATGGAATTGTTGAAGTTAAATTATCCTATTTCATTACAATCCTATCGGCAATAAGAATTTGCTTGTGTTTTTAAGAGAATTTCATTGCAATTATAAAATTTTAAAAGAAATATTTTTTCTGTATTTCAGATTTGTAGGCGAAATAAAGAATTCTTTTTACATCTTGGCGATGTGACCTCGGCATCAAAATTTGAAAAATTGGCCTTAGAATCAAAGAAAGACTTATCTGTAGTACAGCATTTAAAAAAGACTAATCAATCTGTACCAAAGTTTCATTATGAAACACGTCTCTTTTCCATGGTTGTGTAAGTTTGATGCATTATTGTTTTAAAAAGTAGGGATAATCATTTATCTGAGTCTAATTTTAGCCTCTGTAGAAGCTGCTGATAAATGTATTTGCTCAAAAAAATTAATGCAATGAAACAGTGTTATTTGAACCTTAGTAAAACTTTAATACTCAGTATCCACTTTAGTTAATACATAGTTATTATCTGTTAACTATCGCTGCAAGGTCCCTCCATAATTAATACTTACTGATTCCCAATTTAACTTTTTTGATAATAAGATGTTTCTCAAATATATGCATTTTAAATGGTTTTTCTTTAAAAAAAAAACACAATTTGTTTTGACTGCACTATTCAGTTTTAAAATAGTACAATATTAATTAAATTAAAACAAACTTGAAAACAGCAAAAATAATGCTTCATAAGCAGACATATGATTATTTAAATTCTATAAGGAACCACTTTCTTCAGTAGCAGGACATGAAATTTGACTCTGAAGAAGGTGCTTTATTATAGTACTGAAAAGATTATGCAGCAAAATGGCATTGTTCGTACTCTTTTTTTTAAATTTTGTTTTAACTTTATTAGCTGACAATTCTTATTTCAAAGAAAATTTCATTTTTATGCTTCGAGTTCAGTTAGTTATTTTTCACTTCTGACAAATGATTACTTTCAAAATATGATTTATGTTACTTATGAAAACTAGTTGATGTTTGCTGTTTTTATTTAGTATTGCCAATTTCAAGTTAAAAAAGTAGATATTAAGATAGGTATATTTTGATATTCAGTAAAACAGAATAATTTGTTCTGCGTTTATTTATATGAAAGCATACTATCGATTTCCGTGGTAAAAGTAGGAGATTGTTTTAAAATATAAGTTTAAAAATAAAGAAGTATGTTTTGAATATTATTGCAATAGGGCTCGTCCTTATAGATGTTAATAAACTGCAATAAATATGCAGTGCAATAATAAAAAAAATTTCAAAAAAAATAAAACTTAGACTTTGGGTTACATAGGACTATTAGAAATTCATGATTTTTAACCAGTTTGAATAATTTCATCTAGACATTGCTTGTACAAACATTATAAAATTTTATTTCTCATTTTTTAACTTTTGCAATGAGTTTTTTCATCACTGGATTTTTCTTTAAAAAATACATACTTCTCTTTTGACATATAGTGCACAAAAAAAGCAAATACGCTGATTAACTTTTAATCTTATCGAATTTTCATATACTAAAACTCAATCTTTTTGAGAGCTTAACCTTAAATATGCTAATTAATTTCTACAAAGGATATTCAAAGTAAAAATCTCAGGCACAAAAATGTGCTTTCTCTGTATAAACATACCTTTTTTCTACGGATCCAAATTCTCAACCCTCAAAGTATAGAATGGAATTACCAAATAATCTGGAAAATTTAGATGTAATAGTTTGGTCAGACTCAGTAGTTGAGGCACTGAACTGTCACTGTAAAGAACTGGGGTTTGATCCCCGGTTGTGGTTTGAAGCCCACCTAGCTTCGGGTTGATAGGTACCAGCTTGGCTTGGAAGAAAAAGCAACCTGTGTGCAATGCTGAACACATTTCCAAAATCATGCTTTTGATCAGGAAATTGCGGAACCTCAAACTCAATGACTCACAATGGGCTATTGTGGGAATGCTATAGTTTGATCAGGAAATTAGTTAAAAGTTTGGGCCCTTTAATATTAACGTCCCTTTTTTATATAGAATTATCTTTGGATAAATGAATTTTATAATTGTGTGCAAAGAATTTTCAATTTGCTGAAAAAATTATCAAGGCATGGAGAAAAACCACAGTCCTGATCAAACTATGGGACCATATCATGGTTAAGATCTCAAAAAATTAAGATTGAGTCCTAGTATGTGAAAATTCAGTCATTAGGTCAAAAATTATTCCAGTGTGTTTTTTTTTTTTGCTCACTGTGCAACTATTAAAAATTATATTGCTACTTTTAAATTATTTATTTAGCTGCAACACAGAACTAGCTGACAATGAACTTGAAGTAACCGTTGCAAGAGGGATTAACTTACCTGGTAATACTAATTTAAATAAACTGAAATTTTTTATAATATTTCTTAGTATTATTTATAAATAAATTTTTTATTAATTTAAACAGGAAAACAGGATGAACTTGATTCTTTTGTCAGGGTAGAATTCCCTATACCAAATGTTAGTATAAATTTATATTATATATTTTTAAAATGTTTTGATAAATTATAGAAATAATTGACTTTATGTATTGCATTTGTTTTATATTATCATTATATATTTTTTTATTTATTTTGTTGCCATGATTTTTCAATGTTTGTGAATAGGCCCAATAAAATTGAAGTAAATAGTATAAGATCTGTAAATGTATGTGTATTGATAGGTCTGTGTATGAATTGTACTAGCTTGATATTCTCTTCAGTTATGAGTTATTGTTTAAAATAATTCTAAAACATAGAAGTCAACACATTAGAAACTGAAAAAAAAACTTGATTTAACTTTTCTCTGTCTTTACAATCAAAAAGCTTTATTTGTCAAGAATAATTATTTCCCTCTTGCACTCTAAAAATTATTATGCAACTTTCAAACGTTTTTTTAACCATAGAATGTGAGTTGCAAAATTTATTAAACTTTTCAAAATAGCTGTTTCCAAATAAGGTTACAGTTTCATATGGGTCAAATTCTTGAAGCTAGGGTTCCCAACTTAATTATCCTGACAATACTTACCTTATTAGCCTTAAATATAACAAGCCATAGCCTAAATACACCTCAGAGCAATAATTAAGCTGTTATTTCTATCCATGTTGGTAGCTTATTGAATAATTTTCAGTTGTTAACCAACTATAAAAACTAGTCTCTTGACACAACTGTAAAGTACAATACAACAACTTAAAACATAGATAAATAATACTATCTAGTAATTAAAAGAAAAACAAAACTAAATTTCTTAATCTAACTTTCATAAAAAGTTTTTTTTTTTTAAATAAATCTGTTATTTATTTATGGTCTACTAATTTAAATACTGGTATAAAAAAAAACTGAGATGAATTAAATAGAAATACATTTTAAAATTTCAATTTCATTTTAATTATATTATAATTTTAGAAATACAGTTTAAATATAAACTGAACTTAATATTTACATCATGGTGCACTTAAAATTGTTTTCCCCTTCTAATGGGGCTATCACAAAATATGAGAACAAAACGTTCTTAAAAAAAGTTCTCCAAAAACTAAAAAAGTACACAGTCAAGATTTTTAGAAGTAAAATGCAAATGCATAAGAAAAAAATAGCTAAACATTTTTTTCTATTATTTTTTGTTCAGAAATCCCTTTTAACAGTTTTGATAAGAATTAAAAAATTTTTGTACTTTCCTTTGACAAAAAGTTACACCATTTCGATGTATATGGGAATTGAAATTAAACCTAAATATTAAATGTATTTTTTTATCAGCTTTCTTAAAACATTTATAGCTGTTCGAGAACACTGTTGATTTTTTTCCTATTAGGTCAGCAGTAATTGGTAAAAAGAAATTTAAATAGAAAATTAAATTTACAAAAAAAATTTGAATCGTGAAATTTTAGTTGAATATCAAAATTTAGCAAAGCTATTTTTAGTATTTTTTCTATCTTTGTAAGCTATAACATTATGCAAACACTTTTTAATTTAATGATATTTGGCATTTTAACGAATTTGTCACGTAACAAAATTTTATTCACATCGCAAGAACTTCTTTCAACACAATTATTTATTATATTGTACGGGCTATTAGAGTTATCGCTGTTTTACCATAAAAGAATGTTGGACAACATGAAATTGAATTTGTAAGGAAACAGATATTTTTTGTGTGTTGTAATTAAGTTTTATTGCCTATTAATTATTTAAATAAGGTTAAGATCAGATGTTCTTTATTTTTTTGTTTTAGGAAACACCGCAAACAGCAAAAACTCATACCATCAAGGATACAAACAATCCTGAATTTGAAGAAACATTCAAGTTTGAAATAAATCGAAAGTCTAGATCACAACTGCGTCTTTTCAAGAGGCACTCGCTAAAATTAGAAGTTTTTCAAAAGGGGTAATACTTTGCATTTTTTAAAATTACAACTTATTCAGTAGATAAAATAATAAGTTATATTTCATGTTATTGTTTCTATTATAGTTCTTTTTTATGTTGCAGTGGTTTTTTACGCAGCGATAAGTTGCTCGGGACTGTTTCAGTCAAATTACTTGATTTGGAGTCCAAGTGCATAGTGCACGATAGTTTCAATCTGATGGAAGGCAGAAAGAATATTGGGGGTTCATTGGAAGTTAAGATTCGCATCCGGGATCCATTGCTTGGAAAACAAGTGGAAGAAGTTAAAGAGAAATGGCTTATAATTGGAAGTTAAGAACCTGTGATAACATAGTGTAGATACATTTATATATATATATTTTAATCTATCTCAGAACTCTAAGCGCCTTACAGATAAAGAGCCTTGTATTTATTTTAATTGTAAAAATGTAATAAAGTTTTGCTTGCTATATGTTTAAGTTTAATTTTATAAAAAAAATTTCATATATTTTCTCTTAAAAATGTCTTTTCAAACATTGTTACATAATTTCCTAATTTTTGCAGCCAGTTTAATTGTTTTGAGTTAGGCACCTAAATCTTTACAATTAAATATAAAGCAGCTAAGATTTTGACATTTTACTAAAAATAATAATTAAATTTGTATTATTAACAGTGAACTTAAACCTTTTTATATATCACTTACACTCATTTGAGATTATTTTGTAGCCTACAATATTGTTAAAATTTGTTGCAAAAAATTTTTTGTCACTATTTCAGAATATTTTTGATGAGCATGCTTTTCACTGTAATAATCAAATGTGATATTAAATAACATTTACTTTTTCTTTCATTGCTTTCCTGTTTATTCATTTTCGAATTACTACTTAAAAAGAATTTCTAACTGCTTAAGAACTGTAGAAAAGACTCTGATTGTCTCTAAACCAAGCAAAATAAAATTTAAAAAAATATTTCTTAAAAGTGTGGATTCAAGATAGTGATGATTTATAATAATAGAGTTCTCACAGTTACTGTTACAGTGGATAAATTTTAAAATAACACCTGCATACTTTTTTCAATAAATCATGATTCAACGAAACATAAAATGCAGTAAGAACCATATTTTTTGCACGAAAACAGTGGCACTAGGCAAAGATGGGTAAAAGAGTGTTTTAAATATTCTCAACATGTCAGCATTTTAGCTCCATTGAACGTGGTCTGACAGTAATAGAATATAAGAAGTAAGCATAATGATTTGCATGCTGCTGTTTGTTCACTTCATTTCTGCTAATGCTGGTTTTCATGGTTAAAATAACATTCCAAGACAAATTTATACTTTCACTGTGACGATTATGTTAAGATTAAAAAAATGGGTTTTTTGCCATTTGAAAACTTTCAAATTAGTTCTCTTTAACTGTGTGAGCTCTAATTTCATGAATGATCACGATCTCAAGTCTAAACCATTTAATAAGACAATCTGAAAATTAATTTTGGTTGGTTGAGCAGACGGGCTGTTAGGAGTTTTTATATAGGATATATTATTTTATGACCCACCCCAGACTATAATAATATTTTGATAACTACATTTAATTAAACAAAAGGACTTTTTTGTTTTGTGTTATGCACAAAATTACACTCAACATATATTTGCTTAATGCTCAGAGACTTCATGGCTCACAAAGAGACAATACGATAATATATATTTGGTTTCTAACAGATACTTTAAGTTACAGATAATTGAAAAAATAATTAATTTTTGAAATTTTCTAAAATGAAGCAAAGTAATGATAATTTAACTGAACTAAATTTAAGAAAATCATTAAGATTTTATTAAATTTGTTTAAATAAAGATTAAAACTTTTCATTCATAAAATAATGATTTTTCTTGTATTCATAACTTGTAGGTTCAAATAATTCTAGAGTTGAATTATAAGTGATGGGATTCAAACAATTCAAAAACTGATTTGGGTTTAACTATATTGAAATTAATTCCAGTATTAAATTAAAAATTTTTAAGTATTGTCAGATTTACATTGAAATCTCAAAGATCATATATATTTCTAATATATTTTTAGAAAATTCTTTTTTTTTAAGAATTGGTATGCGAGTACCAGTATGTATAAACTAATTCTCATAATTTATCCAAGTAATTTAAATGAATAAAAAATTATATGAGTAGACATAAAAAAAGGATGATACACAATTGCAAACATGCATAAGATTTAAAGCAATTAAAAAAATTCATTGGGCCCTTTTCCTAATCTATAAGTCGTTTTAACTATAAAGAGAATATTTATGTTTAAAACCACTCCTTTTAATCGTGTGAAAAATTCATGTAAAAAGCATTTTATTTTCAATTATAATTCATTAAAATGCTGACAAACAAAAAAATTAGTAAGATTTTAGCTAAATATATCCATAATTACCATCCTCACATAAGAGGTCAATATTAGAATCTATATATTTGGAGTTGCAATTTAATATTTAAGTGAGAAAGGAAAACGAGCACTTAATTACCAAATTGGGCCACTTAGTATCAAAGACAATCATAACATAAGTGGCATTAAAATTATTAAACTCAGTTTATTTTATTGATTAAACTCGAAAATAGCCCAAACAATTGGTTTTTTGATGCCATTTAACTTTTCTAACAAAATCATTTTGATTATTTTTTACAATTACAATGATTTACTTCAATAAAGGTTTAAAAGATTTTAAAAACTTCCTTGTTATTTCCTCACTTATTTTACAATTACAATGATTTACTTCAATAAAGGTTTAAAAGATTTTAAAAACTTCCTTGTTATTTCCTCACTTATTGTGACTTATCATTAATGTGCGATTCTTAAAATATTTCTTTTTAAAAAATTCTAATATATATATAGTGCTAAAAAAAGCACTTTTATAGCTTTCTATCTAGAAATTGAATTTTCACATGCTAAGATGGTTCGATAGTCTAACTTTGAATATGTTTATTTAAGGTGACTAGTAGCAAATATATCAGTGCAAACAATTCCACGAGTTTAAATGTATTTGTAATTAATATTGTCTCTCCTTGAATAAGGCGGAGTGAATAGTAGAAAAATGATTCAGGATTCCGCAGGCTGTGATACTACTACACTTTAATCCTTTTCCAATAATCATTTGTAAAGGTACAGATGGGATGTAAGATCAAAAGTTTTTCCATGGCTATCAGCAATCCAACACAACTTTTTTATATTTTTTTCTCTGTAGATCAAGGAGGAACGAAATGTTGAAGCTTTTTAGTTTGTCTATAGATAATCTTTAGGAAAATAGTTGTTTCCTAAAGATCATAGTCTTTAGGAAAAATGTTATTTCTTTCACAGACACATTAAATAGGATGGTCAAGTCACAACATGCCGTAGACACAGACGAAAAGTTGATGGTCATTCAGTACAGGTCCGTTGGACAGGTATCAAATTTATTAAGGTATTCTGGTTAAAGATGTTGATGATATTTTTCTAATCATCCATTACTCTATTCCAGAGCATACATGGCAACACTGCTAGATTTCCATTACTTATAACGAAATTAAAAGTAAAAAGTATGTACTTTGTTACTTTTAATTACTTCTTTTTTTTTTGGGGGGGGGGTACAAGTATTTGTAACGAAAATATCAAAATAAATGGTTGCTTTTTTTTAAAATTTAAAGCAAAAATTTCTTGAAATTTTTGAGACAAGTCTTTTTTTAATTTATAAATTTGATATATTAAATATTCTTTCACAGCTTATCTGTTTTTCCAAACACCTTTAAAGATGAGAATTTCCTGAAAGGGCGGTTCCTTTGAATGATAGATTATTTCAATAGAAACAAGCATCATCTTTTTCTAAGAGTCAGTTGTGATGTAAGGTGTGAATACATGTGATGTTGAAAGGGCATTAGTTCAGCTCTAAAGAAAAAGTTTGAGAAAGGGAAAAAATATGAGTTGAGAAAAATCTCTCAAAATCGATCTTCTCAAAAAATTTGAGTTGTCTCAAAAAACTAATAAATAAAAAAAAATGTTATTGATCAATTTTAAGTCAATAATATTAAGGATCACTCAGTTAAGGATCACTCACTTTAAGGATCACTCAGTTAAGCAGGTTTTATAAAGCTACTGAGGTGAAATACATTATTCTAAATTAAATCAAAATAATATTTTGATGGCTTTATTTATATTTCAGTTCAATTAATTTAGATAAAAAACATTTATTATTTTAAAAATCAAACTAGAATATACAAATGAGTCATAGAATTTGCTTTAAACAGAAAAATACTTTAATTATGTTATATCTAAGTGGCACAATAATTATGTATTTTAGTGTAGGATGTAAAATCTTAAGAGCACATGTTAGGCATTTTTTGTAAATCAGAATGAGAAATATCTCTACACATTTGTATAAGATAACCTGTTTTGATACAGTTTACCTTAATCAGTATTTAATCCATTCTCTATTATTAGTGTGAATATTTCAAGAAAACTACTTGTTACAGATTTACTTACCTTTGTTAAAAAGTCCGTACTCCATTTAACAGCCTATAGCTTATTGGAAACTAATATTAATAAAGCTAAAATTTATTATTTCTAAATCTTCAGTGTGTTACCTTGGAAATGATACCTTATTTTCCTAAAAATATTAACTTTAAAATTCTGGTCATCTGGTTGACCTTACCATATGTATAACGTGTTCACAAACTTTTTGATGGATGATACAAAAAGCTATTATTTTAGTATTTCTACACATTTTTGCATCATATTTCAATATTAGTAATCCTACCTTTTGTAAAAAAAATTCAGTCCTGTCTTCTTTTTCTGTGATGGCAAATACATTGCTACAGATTGAGCCGAAGTATTGATTGGTCAAACAAAAATACAATGGTACGGAGTTGAACATTGGTAGTCGTAAACCCAGAACTGGGCCGGCTGTTAAACGACGGCTATAAAATAAAACATTAATATAGAGCCGTGGTGGCTCAGGGTATATAGCATTTGCCTTCCAATGAGGTGAACCAGGCTTGAATCCCACCGATGGCTAGTCGATTTGATTTCTGCACCTGGTTCGCACCGACCACAGTGCTGACATAAAATATCCTAAGTAGTATACGAATCATAGGTTAGAGTTCCCTTGTCATCAGAGGCTAACCGTGGGAGGTTTTCTTCTCCATGTAATGCAAATGGTTAATTTTATCAAAAAGTCCTTTACTAAGGTGAATTTCTCCCAATACTTGATTCCGGAGTTCTTCTGGATTGGGTTCAAAATTACAAGGCTACAGCGTTGAACAGTAAGAGTCTTAAAGACTAAATCTGGTCGGCTGTTCAACAACAGTTATAAAATAAAAAACAATAATATGAACTATCTGTTGCATTTGTTGATTCATTTATTGGTATAGAATATAACATGAAATTTTTATATTTGAATTATATGGTACAGAATATGTCTGCAGGTATCCTCTACACACTTTGCTATTGTAACTCCAAACAAGCTGATATTAGCTTAACATGGATAAAGTACATTAAATGCACACACAAGACATTCTTTAGCTAATTCAATGATTAAATGACTTTTCATGTTTCCCTATTTTTAGCTATCATGTTGCTAACATGATAGTTAAATTATGACTATTTTAGACTATTACTACACTAGATACTACATTTAGACTATTTTTATGAAAAATAACGATTGCAGAAAATATAGTTTCACTTTTAACCCTCATAATTTGTAGGTTTACAAATGTTCATCTTATCCAAAATTATCTAAAATGGGATTTGTATCACGAGACTTTCATGCTAAATTGGCCTTTGTTACTAACCTTACTGTATATAACTTTTCATTGTTAGACTTTTCGAATTT